TTTTTCCCCTCCTATAGCCAGGTCACCCATTCAGCAACATGCTTCAGAGATTGGTGTCAGCTTTCAACAATGATTCCTCTTTAAATTCCTGTTTATATTAAATTTAAGTCCGACATAAATTCCTTCCACAGTGCTGGGTTTTGATATGCAAACATGTCAAACCATCAAACAAAATTATGATAATTTTATTGGACATTTAAATTACTGTCAGTGTGATAAACTGGTAAATATACACACTGAACTCTGCACAGCTGTGCTCTGGTTTTGCATTTACTATTTCAATAACCGCTCCCTGCTCTGTATAATAAATTAAAGACAACCAAACTAATATTGTAAAACCATGAGTCCATTTACTGACCTAACTGAAACCTTTATTAAAAATACAATAACTTTTGACTCCCTCCTGTCTTTGTTAAATTCTTTGTGCTCATCAGGAAGCGTGTCAGTGGTGTTTGTGCGATATGACAGAATTGGTGAGATCCTGAAGCCGAGCAGCGACCCGGGTCTCACCGACTACTCGCGGTATGCAGGAACAGGGGAAATCATTGTCAACTCCCCAGTCATAGCAGTAGCCATCAAACCTGCTAACGTTTACCAGCTTGACCATGTCACCTTCACTCTGAGACACACCGAGGTAAACAACTATACTGAGCGCTAAAGCTCTTCTGTGCTATATCATCAACATTTGTGCTGCAGATAATTTTGCATTTGTATGTTAGATCCTGTGAATAATATCAGTGTGCCATACCTTGTCTCTTGATTTATTTATTGCAGCATTTTAAAACTGTTATTACCACTTTTGCTTTCCTGCTGTTCGACAGATCTGAACACAATCTAACATCTTTTTTTCCTCCTTTCTTTGTCACATACTATGTGATTAATTCATCAGCACCAGCTTCCAATAGGATTTTTGTTCACTTTGAAACATCAATATATCTGTCCTTGTCATATATCATTGTCAGAGCAGCTTCCTTATTCTCAGATTGACTCAGGCGGTAATTTAATAACTGCCAGAGTTCCCATTAAAGTCAAATTTAAACTAACTCACATGGGAAGAATGGTTAGTGTTTTGTGTGAAGTTTTATGAAATTTTAAAGGATTCGCTCCATGTATTTCTCAATGACCTCTCAGTTAAAGGGAAAAGGCTAAGGAAAGGTGAATAAAAAATGAAGGAAAGTGGGTAATGAAAGAAATAACCCTGAAAGTTAATGCACTTATTTTCTTTTTAGACAATGAAAATGTGTAAGAAAGTGAAATCATTATTTTTGTTGGACCCTTGAGGTTTAAGTCTAACAAAGGAGGTGTTGATTTATGTCATGCAGTGAAAATTTTCAGCAAATTGCCTTTAAAGAACAACAATCAATAATTTGGACTCTACTGTTGTGCAGACAATGGAATAGTGAAAAGATATTTTCCTGTGATGCACCATTTTTTCCTTTTCTTGCTCTCGCCTTTTCAGTACAAATTATTTAAGAGGAAAATTGAAGTGGTCATATAAACTAAATAAAGATGTTAAAAAAGAAAAATATTTATTTATTTATGACCGTTTTATACTGTAAATACCTACGGTGACCTGCCTTATTGTACACTGTTTTTTATTTGATTTAAATCATGCATTATTTGGCGTTGTATTTTCTAGTAGTAAATCCTGACATGAGCCAGTTTTAAGTAAAAAAAATGTTAAAACCCAAAGCAAACAATAATAATGTGAGAACCCTTGAAAATGACAGTTTGCAAATGAGTACATTTATTCAAATGACTTTTTTGCCCTGCTGGACTCACATTTTAGATAGATTGTAATTCATTTTCACTGCTATTTTGATGAGGCCTGAAAAACGAGTTTTTGACCCCCCTGGTGATGTGGTATCACAAAGCAGCGCAGAACAAAAACTCATAAAAACAGCAGCATCCATAATTAACAGTCTTTGTCCCCCTGTATCCCCTGAAGCCCGTAGACACTAAAGCTGATGTGACGAAATGTGCCTTCTGGGAGTACACGCTGGACAGCCTGCAGGGCCACTGGGCCACTCACGGCTGCAAGACCGTCCACGTCAGCAGCAATGCAACCACCTGCTCCTGCAATCACCTCACACACTTTGCTCTCCTCATGTCATCTGGGCGAGCCAATGTGAGTGATCGCACATCACATAGCAATATACAAGTCTACCGTACAAACTGAAGGGTTTTTGTTGTTGGTGGAGTTGGTGTGTGTGTGTGTGTGTGTGTGTGTGTGTGTGTGTGTGTGTGTGTGTGTGTCCACAAATTAATGAGATCACATAATGAACTTTGAACTTGTAACTGACTTTTTTAGTAAGTGATATGATCACCACTGTGAAAACATAGCATTTCCAAAATGTCACAAAAACATCCCCGTTTTAAGTTTTGCGACCTTGTTTTTTTTTTTTCAGATAATTTTATGGATTGGGTTGTGTTGAGGATCTGGAGTTAGTTTATTCAGCATAAGAAATTTTACAACGTTCTGAATCAGTGAAGGATCCAACAGTTTATCTAAAAAATACAAAATCACCAAATACAAAGATATGTGGTTTTATGTGTTATATAAATAATACTTAAAATATAATGGATTTTCTTACTTGCATGGTTCACCATTATTTATATTCTACACTAAAAAGCTGTGGATCAGTCGTTTTTTACTAATGCCAAATTTTGAAGGCTAATATCGATATTTTTGCCAGTTTTTAATACAATATATTGACTTTTAATCCCAAGACTTCTAGATATCATATCCCGACAATAAATATACAGTTAAGTTAATTAAGATGAATCACACAACATAAAATAAACTTTTTTCTAAAACTGGCATATGTAACATCTGATAGAGCAGGATTAGAACTGGCCTGGTATGTTTGCAAGCCAACATGTTACCCTGATCACATCCTATACTGTTATATCAAATGATTCCAAGCAGAAAACAGAACAAATTACAACTTTGGCTCACCATGAAACTGTCAGTGAGATGCCTCCCTTTCCATTTGATTCCCAGCTGGTGGCCCACTATACCATCCTGACTCGGATCACCCAGCTGGGGATGATCATCTCCCTCATCTGTCTGTCCATGTGCATCTTCACCTTCTGGTTCTTCAGTGAGATCCAGAGCACCAGAACTACCATCCACAAGAACTTATGCTGCAGCCTCTTCATGGCTGAGTTCATCTTCCTGGTGGGGATCAACATGAACAGTCATAAGGTTAGCGCTGGATGCACTTGAACCCTGTGAAACAATGGAAACCTCCTGTGTGTGTGTGTGTGTGTGTGTGTGTGTGTGCCTGACCCACTGTTGTACCATTTCACTGATTAAAAACACTCTTTGTCTGAATTGTAAGTACATAGCTGGTCATTTTCTCTGATGTTATGTGGCACACTTTTATGTCTCTCACTTACCCTGTAAGCCGACTTGCTATTCAGCTGAGCATTTTTAAGCAATACATGTCATAAATCGGGCTAGTGACAATTCCTACATATTAGAACTAAGTAGTTGTGATTTGACACCCCATGGGGTTATAAAATCTCTCCCTTTCCTTCTCTTCTTCTGTGTGTTTCTTGGCAGCTTTTCTGCTCTGTTATTGCTGGGCTGCTGCATTATTTCTTCCTCGCAGCCTTCGCCTGGATGTGCATTGAGGGCATCCATCTGTACCTAATAGTGGTTGGCGTCATCTACAACAAGGGCTTCCTGCACCGTAACTTTTACATCTTTGGCTACGGGAGCCCAGCGGTGGTGGTGGCCATCTCGGCAACACTTGGGTCCAAGTATTATGGCACTGATAGAGTGTAAGTACAAAAAAAATGGGGGGTTAACAGACTTATACAAAGACCCCTTTTTAAAAAATTCATTGAACATTTTTCTGAAATGAAAGATAAACAAATTACATTAATTATAAATACAAGAGGATAAAGATTCAATTTGGCCAGCAGGGATATAAAGGAAGTTGAACTTGCTTAGACTACCTGGCAGAAAGAAAGTTAATAATTGAATAAAAGAAATTCTGAGGATTTTGCTACCATGGAGAGTTTGAATAGAAATCCACAAATGAGTACAGTTAAATGACTGAGGTGATGCTAAAAATGTGCTTATTGTCTATTACTTTGAGAAGAGGTAGCTTTTGTAACCAGTTATTTTTGTAGTGGTAGGAACAGACTTTTTTTTTTCTAGCCCTTACAGTTCTGTCAAAATAAACTTTATAAAGTAGTGTAACAAGATCCGAGGAGGGATTACTCCTGCAAAAAGATCTTAAAGCATACATTCACTCAATAAAAATGTTTGTCGAATAACACTTTTTTTAAAAATAGATGTTGGCTGAGCACAGAAAACCACTTCATATGGAGTTTCATTGGGCCCGCGTGTTTGATCATCCTGGTAAGATGCGACATTTTTGTAACATAGTAATAATGACTGTTCAAATAGGGATTGCTTTAAAGATAATTATTCATTCGATTGTGTTTGTACTTCGAAGGTTAATCTCTTGGCTTTTGTGGTAATCATCTATAAAGTGTACCGGCATACTGCTGTGAAAAAGCCTGAAATCAGCCACTATGAGAACATCAGGTAGGATTAGCTGTATTCATGTAGAGTAGGTCAAAAGAATGCTGTAAGAACCGTAACTGGTTTATTATTATGATGTCACGTGGAGTCCTTTGAGATATTAAATTACACTTTGATACCATAAAAAATAAAAAAAGAAGTTTGTTGTGTTCAGCCACACTCTGAAATCTGTGTGATCCCCCTCAGGTCCTGTGCCCGTGGTGCCTTGGCTCTGCTGTTTGTGCTGGGAGCCACCTGGACCTTCGGAGTGCTGCACATCCTGCACGAGACCACGCTCACTGCCTATCTGTTCACCATCACCAACACCTTCCAGGGCATGTTCATCTTCATCTTCCTCTGTGTGCTGTCCAGAAAGGTAACATCCGGATTCCTATTGGGTTTCTCTTGATATTGTTTTATGAGATTTATTACATTGTTATATTCACATGCAAACAAATTGTACAGTAAGTAAAAGTATAGAAGTACAGTATTAGCAGCAAGTTGCACTTAAAGGATCAAATGTAAATGTACCCTTTATGCATTAATAGCTCCATTCATAGTGTTGTATTTATCATGCTGTTATTGGAATATTACTACTTTGTTTTTTACTGCTACACCATTTTAATGTTTTTTTCAGAGTAGGGTTCATTTTATTAACAAATTTTAGAACAGGAACTTTAAAAACTTTAGGTTTAAATATGCATACAGTGTTTTACAGCTAAAAATGAATTTTGGGTACAAAATCTTGATCTAAAAATAATTAGTAACTATAGCTGTGAAATAAATGTAATGGAGTATAAGTAGAAGGTTTTCTAGTGAATTAAAAAAAGAAACAGTTTAATTAAATGTAACTCAAAATAGTGCTTAAGTAATTGTGCTTCCACCACTTATATATTCTTCTAAATTCTGCCTTCTTGTATGTATTGTTACAGATTCAGGAGGAGTACTACAGGCTTTTCAAAAATGTGCCATGTTGCTTTGAATGCCTGAGATGAAATATTGCAACCAGCGCCTGCTCATCTGCACTGTACATCAATAATCGACTTTACAGCTTCGCAGTATCCTGTGACTCATGCTTTCAGATGTGGAAAATTCTGTGGGAGGAATTGTTTAGTACAGACGCCTGATAAATGAAAACCTGTAGCACTTTCTGAACATCTTGTTTCTGCTTTTAAAGAGTGAAGTCATTTATGCATCATTTGTTTTATAATCTGGAACTTTTTGTGCAATAAAAACACAACTTTCTCAAACATTTCACACACACACACAAAGCATCCTTCTGAGATTAATACTGGAATCAAACTACCTTGTATATGTTTATTTTAATTTAACATCTTCTTCAATTATCAGCTTTACCCTCCAAATAGCCTGCAGTTTGTTGTCTTTGTTCTTTTCCTGTGTTTGAAATTGATTTGTAAGTTATTAAAATGAAAGTGGCAAACCAACGTATGCTTTTATGTGCAAAATCAATGGTCTTGTTTAATGCCTTCTTTCACCCTGCCTTTCTGAACAAGTGTACAGTAAATTAAATATGAATTGTTGTTTTCATCCTCTTGTGCCTAGCAGTCACTAGGCGGGCCAGTGGCTCCATCTACTGGACAAAAGAAAGAACAGGATTCTCGCTGTAAGCTATAATACTTAGCACATAACCTCAAAGCCTATTCGTCTGCAGGATCTCACAAATGCTTCTCTCTGTGTGTGTTTGTGTCTGTTTGTAGCGAGTTAGTACATATGATCTGTGCTGTAGCATTCTTTGTTCTTTCTTCTGGGCTGTAGGCTATTTTAAGAAGCATCTGTCTATGGACAATAAACCAGATGTATCAAATTAATGACATTATGAATCTCTAGTCATCCATTGAAAATGTTCCTATAGTGTGACTTTTAATGCATAAATTGTTTGGATCCCAAACCAATTTAAACCAAGAAAAACATATTCAGCCTAGAATCTTTAAGTGGTCATACAATAACAATGGCCAACACAACACAGTGCTCATGTGCAAATGAAATGTGTGCATATATGTCTCAACTCCAGTCTTCACATAATGTAGTAGAACTTGAGTTCCAGAAAAATATGTTTCCTCAATACTGTAAAAAGTGGAGAGAAATCCAGGATTTACTATAACTATGCACTTTGTCTGACTGATAAAGATGTTACTAAAGCTCAGGTCATGACCCACCTTATCTTTAAAGGTAAAGATTAATATGTTTCTCCCTCTGTGTTTGTCCTGTAGTATTCAAAATGATCCAAATTTCTTGATCCTTTTGCTAGGATAAATATGTGATGTTGCAGCCTTCTATACTGGCTAATGCTGAAATTTAAAACAAAGGTTGATGGTCATGTAAACTAAAGCCAGAGAATAAAAAGTATGATGGCTGAGAAAATCCTTAGGTAAAATTACTCAAGGGACTCTTGTTGTGCAATCTGAACATAACACTAAAAGGCAGTCAAAGCAGACAGGTGGGGGGGATTGGTACTTGATGACTTGATGTCATCACCCTCCAACTCTATGAACTGTATAACCTGGCCTGTTTGTGGAACGCTATGGGCTGAGGGAGATTTAAAAAAAAAAGGCATTAGTAGTTTATTAAAAGCATGGATTCCCCATACTGTTTGACTTTGTCCTATCCATAAAGACAACTTAGTGGCGCCAGGGGACCATGTATAACGTTAAGAATATGTAAAAAGATAAAATCTGCGAACATGTTCTTTTCCTTCTTTGAGTGTTTAGACGTGGTTCCCAGCAGGATTATCCCTTCATGTAGGTGTGAAACACTTGTTTCCTTCATTTTCTAAGTAGTTAAAAATGAAGTTTTGGATTTAGTATATGGTAAGTGGCAAAACACAGCATGTTTGGATTTCTGTGTTTGTTTAAGAAAAAGTTCCACACAAATGTCTTCATAAAATAGTGTGATTGAATCATTTTCAGTCATATGATTTCCTTTTGTATGTGAAATCAAAAATCAATAGGTCACTGTGGGTTCATTCTAATTATACACAACTATCAAAACTGTTGAGATTATTATCTTTATTCATCATGTCATCCTGACAATGTCACAGGCCATCATGGCTTTGGTGTATTTGTTTTAAATCCATCAGTTGTTCAACCCAGACCTCTGGCCTGTTCACAAGGCTTAATGCAACCAGTTTCCCCAGGGAAAAAGCACCCAAGTATATAAAGGAAAAATCTCAAACGCTTGCTTCCATGCCTCACTTTCACAATGTGGGGTCTCCTCCTCTGCTGCCTTGTGGCCCTGGCCAGTAAGTTTTCACTGATCACTGTCTTCACTTTCAGAGCTTTTGCAAATGCCTCTTTATCATTTATTCTGATGCATGTATCTTACTTGCATGCGAGTAAGATACTTTTTAAATGGATTTTGGATAGGTCTATGTGTTGTGTGATAATGAGTTGCCAATAACCTAACAACAATAAGAAGTATTTGTCAAGGCAGGTCAGGTATTTAAGTGAATTCATGCTGTTATTCATTAACTGGTCTGCAATGATGTGATTTTGGTTTTTAAAATGTTGATGTTAATTTATGGTTGGTTACATGTTTTGTGTTTGGGTTTTAACATGATGCCACAAATGAGCCAAATCAAATAAAAGGCTTTGCCCATATTTTCGCTAAATTTCTAATACTGACATTGTATTTGACTACATTCTTTTAGCATGCCAAAGTTCCCTATATGGTGAGTCTTTCTGTCTTCATCATTATAGTAAAACAATATTTTTTGAAAACTTTCCCTAAAGAACATGATGTGACATTTAATTTTGGAAATATATTCCAGAAATTAGCCTGAACCCTAAGAAGACCTATGAATACACATATAAGGGGATGGTGAATTTTGGCCTCGGCATGCCAAACCATGCTGAGTCCGGTGTGAGAATGGCGTGCAAAATCAAGCTCATTGGTGTGTCCGAGCAAACATTTGTCCTTCAGGTGAGAGTGACAAGAGAGATGTCATACAAAGCTTGTAGACTTGTTAGACTGTTTTACTATTACAACATGGGTACTCATGAATGCCATACATGAACAATAAAACTGCTCATCTCCATCTCTCGTCCAAAGGTTTCAGATTTGACCTTTGAGGACTTCAATGGCTTCCCAAAGAAAAATGACTTCACTGCTGCCCCAAAGCTCACCGAACGTATCGCTGCCCAGCTCGCCAAACCCTTCATGTTTGACTATGTTGGCGGACACGTTGGCGACATCCGCACTTCTGCTGAGGTTTCAGACACAGTTGTCAACCTTGTGAGGGGGATGCTGAGTTTTTTCCAAGTCACAGTTAAGACCACACAGAAGATCTATGAGCTTGAAGAGGTAAATCTCTGACTGACAGATACGTTCCCTCTTTGTTTGTTCTACATGGCATCAGTAAAACTGTAAGAAATGTTTCAGTAACAAAGTTTACTTTTGTTTGAAGCTTGGCATCCATGGCATGTGTCAGAGTAATTATGTTATTGAAGAAAGTGGGAAGGCACAGGACGTGACTATCACTAAGGTTATGGATGTCAGTAACTGCAGGGAGAGAGCAGACATGTACAGCGGAATGGCTACTGCTGTGTTTGACAGCCTCGCCAGACAGGTTGGTTTATCTTATTGCGGATGCAGCTGATTCTACAAATATAAATGTAACAGAACAAAGTCAGACGTATTTTTGTTTGTGTGGCCCCCAATCTAGAGTGGACATTCTGTCATTACAACAGTGAGATATGTTTACACAGTCAAACCAACAGGAGAGGGGGGTCTCATTACTAGAGCTCACAGCGTAGAGCAGCAGGACTTCAGTCCCTTCAACGTGAAGGGCGGCAGTTTCAAGATGCATGCGACGTAAGATGAGAATGTCTAAACACTGTGCCTGCTCATCCACATTGCTTACCTGCAATACAAACTGACCTTCATTAAATAACTTCTCTCACAGGAAGGAAATTGCTCTGTGCAACGTGAGCGAAACAGCGAGTGCCATCATTTTCGGCCCAATTGGAAGCAGGGGCAACCTTGTTTACAAATTTGTCAATGCCGAAGCTAATGTCCCAATCATGATGCAGGACCTGGCAAACCCTGTACCAAAGGTAATAATGATTCACTAGTGCTGCATAGAATTCATAACTATAAAAATCTTTCATAAAAGGAGGAGGAAGCACTCTAGACTAACTTAAATTTAAATACTAAAACTGCAGAAAACCACAGTGGAATCAACTAAATTCCTGGATATCACAACAGCATAATAAATTATTTTGCTTTTCTAAAATGAGCTGAAAAGCCTTCACTCTCTTTTAAATGGGGTTCAAGTCTAAAGAAGCTGAATGCATTTTTACACTGAGCACTTAATTATCCTTTTTTTCAGCAGCTGTACCCTCTAATTATCTTTGCAGGCTAAAGAACTGATTAAGCATCTAGCTGAGGCTAATAATTACCAAATTGACAGTGCAACAACTGAGGATACTATAAAGCTGTATCAACTCCTGCGTGTGATGCCATATGAAGGATTAGATGGTATATGGAAGCAAGTTAAAGAAACTGAAGAGCATAGGTAAGCATTGTTATCACAATGTGATGCTAGAACTGTGAACGATGTATACAAATATAGATCACCAAATATTGAAAGGAGTCCATTTTTAGAAAGTTGAAAGCATTTTTCATTTCCTCTTGAACTTTTGCTAAAAAGAATAAAGAATTAGTAATGTGCACATTACTCATTTACATTTGCATTGCTATCATGGCAGGAACTGAATCAACAGATCAATGTGTTTGTCCCCCCCCCTAACCTACTGCATAGATTTGGAAGGTGTGCACACTGGCTTCTCTGCAAACCTCTGCGACCTAATGTCGCCCATAACACCCTTATATGTGTAGGTTTGCAGAGACTCTGATGTCTGTCTCCAGAGAAGCATAACTGCAGTTTAATAGTCTATAGCCATGGTTGCAGCTCCATGAAACTGTGGTGCTTTAAGCCAAATGCTAACTTTAGCATGCTAAAATGCTCACAATGACAACGTTATTATAGCATATTAGCATGCTAACATTTGTTAATCAGTATTACAGGAAACTGGCTGATGGGAATGTACTGCAGTTCATTTTGCTGGTATTTAGCCACAGCCCAACAGATCAGCCAGGATGAAGAGTCAAAAGATCATCCAAGTGATTAAAAGACATCCTGAGGGAACATGATTTGCCACTTTTTTATCCATCCATACCTGGCTGTATAGACATTTCACTGTAGTAGTGGCACTAGATTAAAAGTCAGCACACCAAAGTCATTAGGGTTCTTTAACTGTGAACCATGAATGTCTGCACCAAATTTGGTGCCAGTCCATCAGTTTATTGCCAATCCAAAAGTTGAAATATTTCACTTTGGATCGCTTCACATTCATGGAGCTGTGGTGCCAGAATGACACAAATAGCACATAAGCAGCCATGCCAGGTTTTAGAGGGGCCTTGAATTTGGCTGCTCTGTCACACTACACATTACATTCATACATAACTGGGAATGCTTTGAAGAAAATGCAAAGCTGTGTAGCCTGTCTGAAGTAATTTATGCACAATGAGTGTGTTCAAATGCAATTTTCCGTTCAGGAAGTAAAGTTATGCTGATGATGAATTGATGTGTAATTGCCTCAAATGCACAAACTTTCCAGTGTGTTGGATCTTTTAGTGGCCTCAGTAGTTAAGTTCAATTAAATTAACTGTACCCAGGAAGTTCTAAATTCACAATTTACACAGTATGTCACATCTTTGAACCCACTGAGAACATCTGACTAACATTTCAGCTCAAAGTGAAAATCCTTCATACAAGCAGATAACGTTTAACCAAGCTTTTCATTATATTGTTATAAGATGATGACCAAAATCATCCAAGGCCATCTCTACAATCTAATATGGATGGACTTCAGCTGATACCCTCCCAATTAGTTCAGGAAGGATTTAGTCTGACACATTGATGAATGATTTATTATCATGTGAGGCATGGTGGCAGAAGGGTGAGGAGTGAACCTGCTTTCACTGCTCATTAAAATAAGACACCTCATTATATTTCATATTGTACAAGTGCAATTTTAAAATGTCATCTGACCTTGTCTTTCATACCTTTTACTATTTCTCTTTTTTGAGGATAATCCTTTTCTTAAATATTATCTGATTAATCCATTCTCTCTCCTTTTTCATTCACTAGGCGCTGGTTTTTGGACATGATTGTTGAGGTCAGCGATGCCAGAATCCTCAAGTTCTTGGAAACGAGATTTGAGGCTGGAGATCTGTCTGCATCTGAAGCTCTGCAGACCCTTCTGCTGGCGATGAACCATCTCCAGGCTATCCCAGACCTGGTTGAGAAGGCTAAAGTGAGTTAATGCTAAAGATTTAGAAAAGGTGTTTGTATAGTGAAGAATGATACCATACAAACTTTCTACAAAAGCTTCTCTCCAGATCGTGTCAAAATGTCTCTGTGTCTCTTTTGCAGATGTTCCTGCACATGCCCTTTAGTAAATCCAATATCTATCTGTGGCATACTGTGGTGCTTTCCTATGGCTCTCTGGTGTACAAGCACTGTGCAAATTATTCACCCTGCCCAGTAACTGCTGTTCAGGTAAAAACACAGAACGAAATCAATTTCCTATGATAGATACGTAAGACAACTATTCCAAGCAAAAACATCTAACTGTAACATAAGTTTATTTGGTATGTGGCTGAGACAGGACAGTAATGAAAGTGAATATGCAAAAATTATCATGTAATGAGTCAGTATTTGTAAAAACTTCAGTGTTTTAAATCTGTACTAGCCTCTGCTGGACATGGCCTTGGAGGGTCTGAAGAATCACAGTGAGGCCGACATGGTCCTCGCTCTGAAAGCTCTGGGGAACGCAGGCCACCCAGGCAGCATTAAGACCATCATGCGCTTCCTCCCTGGTGTGGCCGCCACCCCTGTGGACCTGCCACCTCGTGTGCTGAGTGCTGCTGTGCAGTCGTTGAGACTTATAGCTGCCAGAGAACCTCACAGTGTAAGAACACTTTAAAGCATGCAAGAAGAATGGGAAGTGGTTCAGATGCTTAATAATTATAGCTGGAATTGTACATGAAATGTGTTTATGGTAATTACATGCTCTGTTTCATAGTCAAGTTTTTTTTCAGAAGGGACAAATTCACTGTAACAAAGCATTTACACCAATATAACTATATACAGTTCTAGTCCTGGAAAATGTAGTTAATTGTGTTCCTTGTAGTAGGTAAAGAACAATTGCTAACATCAGGTGAAAATAGCATGTCTGATTTGGCTACTGTCATTCACTCTTTGCACTGTGGAAGTACAGTACATAAACGGTTCATTTATTAAAGCTACAGTATATAACTTTTCAAATAGTTTTGTTGTAGAAATCTGCTCCAAAACTTGTCTTAATGTGGAGAGATGCTGTCAAAGCCTCCTGTGTAGCAGATCATAGCAGGGCATAGTGGAGCAAGGAGAGGGAGTGCTGGGTGGAGCAAAGTGGACTGATTTGGAGTTTCATGCTAGTACTACCTTAAGTTATACACTGTAGCTTTAAATACTCTACCTTTAATTTATTGTCATTTCAGGAAAGGTCATTTCTGTTCTGTGCTGGACCAGAACAGAAATGACCTCATGTTCAATGTGGTTGAGTGTATGAGCTTTCTGAACTCCTAATCATTATAATATTTCTATTTTCAGGTCCAAGAGATCACCATGAGCCTGTTCATGCAGAAGAATCTTCCCTCTGAGATTCGCATCTTGGCTTTTATGATCCTGTTTGACACTAAGCCATCAGTGGCTCTGGTATCCACAGTGACTGCACATCTGGAAGAGAGCAATGACCTCCATGTTGTTAGTTTTGCATATTCCTACCTGAAAGGCTTAGCCAGATCCGTTACTCCAGACAATCACCTCCTGTGAGTGTAACAATGAAAAGTGTGGTATTTTACTGTTTATTGTATGTGTGATCTAATTGTGCTGTGTGGTCTCTGCGAAAGCTCGACTGCCAGCAAAATAGCCGTGAAAATCCTGGCCCCTAAATTTGGTCACCTCAGCTATCGCTACAGCAAAGCACTGCACATGGACTGGTTTAATGGTATGATCAAATATAGCAGTGCACCGCTTGGTTTTTCCCAAAACATGACGTGAAACGTACGGCTCTCTCTATGCAGATGACTTCCTATTTGGCACAGCCACAGAAGTCTTCATGCTAAGAAGTGCAACAAGCATGTTTCCCACTGAATTCATGATGAAAAACAAGATGTATTTTATCAGTAGAGTTCTGCAGCTACTAGAGGTACAGCATCACCTATGATCATTTAAACTTTAATTGAAAATACAAGTGTCTTCCCAATCATGAGCAGAAATAATTTTCTATGCTTTTCATGCTGAAGTTGGGTTTCCAAAATGAGGGAATTAAGGAGCTGTTTGGCACCAGCATCCCTGGATTTAAAGGTGATCTAAGTTTCAGTGACCTCCAGGCTATTTTCAACGTGGTGAGTATGTAACCGAGACTGAAAGATGAAAGGGTTATACCTGCACTATGATGTGTCAGTTAGTTTGTTTGGGTGACCATTATACTGTGCCATTTTCAGTTTAAAAACTTCGACAATTTACCGAGTGATAAGCCAGTCCTTTCTGCCTTCTCACGCGTCTTTGGACAAGAGTGGTTCTTTGCTGATGTGAACAAAACATTCATTCAGAATATCATCACGGTGAGAGGATAATTGAACACTATTAATGGTCAATTTATGTCAAAGGATGTGCAGTCAAACAAAACAGTCATACTTTTAAGTAATCCACGAAGCCTGTTACATGCTGCTCGCCTGTGATCCTACATGCAGGCTGTTAGTGCTTCTGCAGGGAAAGAAAGTCCTCTGTGGGCTGTGATCGAGAATTTACAGAGGGGAGTTTCATGGCATTGGACCAAGCCATTCCTGATCGCTGAGGCTCGCTACTTCCAACCTACCATCCTGGGTCTCCCCCTGGAGATCAGCAAATACTATCAAGTCGTCAATGGGATCACTGTCAAAGGTGAGGGGTTAGACCCTAAAGCAAACACCCGCCATATCAGTCAAATTAACATTGATTCACATCTAACACAATTTATTTTATTTGATATAAGCAATTCTTAAAGGCATATTTTCTTATGTAGCTAAAGCTGCAGTAAATCCGCCTGTGACTCAACATATTGGACAACTCTTGACATCTGAAATTTCACTGGAAACTGATGGCTTTATTGGGTAAAAATGATTTATGCTTATTGAATTACAGAAAATACACTTCCAGCCTGTTTAGCAATTATTATAGGAAGCAGATCATATTATTTTGTGGCATTAATGTCAGACTGCCTTTGTATACCATGCATATTCACATTGTGTATATACAACTATTGAATTTGCCTGTTCTTTAAAGCTTCACAAAGGATTTTTGGATGTTCTATGGGATCAACACAGAACTGTTCCAGTGTGGCTCTGAGTTTAAGAGCAAAATCCCTCTTGCTGTTCCATGGAAGTTTGCTGCAAAGATCAATGTCCGAGAGAAGAAATTTGAACTCGACTTCCCTGCATGCAAAAACGACTTTGAACTCTTTTCGGTCAAGTATGTTTGAAGGATATTTGGAAACAACTGATTCACACAAGAATAACAATTCTGAATTCATTCATAAATTCCCCACAAAAATCATTGTTGTACCCAACAGATCCAATGTGTATGCAGTCTCTAGGAATATTGTAGAGCCAGCTATGGCTAAAATAACCCCAATCATGTCGGACACTGCTAACTGCAATGCTGATCCTGACCAGGTACAGTCAACAACTTTAGGACATTATTGTCAAAGTTAAAACTTTTTGCACCCCACTGGATTTACAGAACTCAAAGCAGATAATATCCTTGTGTGTGTGCATGTGTTTTCCCCCTAATCTGACAGACCATGGCACCAGAAACCTGGCATCCAAGATCCACACTGTGTGCTGAGAGTTACATTTATGGAGCAGGTCTCTGTGTGGAATCTGAGTTGAGGAGAGCATCTTATAAGGAGGAATACCCCTTGTACTACTTCCTTGGTTACACCCACTTGGCAGTCAAAGTAGTCCCAGGTATGCACAACAAGTGCAATACACCACAGAAAATAGTGACATCACAAACTTACATACGGTCTTAAGAATATAAAACATTAGCAATTCAAGCAGTCATACTGCCAAACTCACTTGAGACACATTAGTCAGTGAAACGTGTACTTTAAAATGCTACTTTATTGCCAAGTATGCAAACACTGCTGCCACCCACTTGCAGCATTTTATGATTCAGCTGCTTTATATCTATACTATAGCTACAGATAAGTCCGCTCATGCTGTTTCAGGAGGTGCCACTGCTTTTGCTGCATCAATGTCACATCTACAAAGACATTTTGTAATTCGATATCATGACTCTTCACAAGGCATGTTCTAGCCACTTCAGGTGGTAGTGCTGGTTTGGGTTGTTAAATGCAATACTGTTGATTTGAACATTCCAACCTGACCAAGCGTCAACAGAATGGGAAAGCAAAACACTTTTAGCCTCATCGATGTTATGCATCTGCTTCAAAATCCTTAAGCCATGCCTATACCCCAAGCACAATACATCTGCCATGCAGCTCGCCAGAGGCCGGTGCTTGTGTCTGCACCATGCACATGTACACTCACGCACTGGAAGTGCTTGGTGTACAAAAAGCAAACAGAAAAGGCTACAGGAATACATTTGAAAAGGGAAATCAGAACTATGGCCCAAAACTATGACAAATACTGTAGTCGACAGTGAGGGACTTCATGGCTACACTGTATGATGTGTCCAACCCATGGAAGAATACAGCAAATGAAAACTACACACACGGAACTGCATGTTCCATAGGATGGATGTAACACATGACAGATCATGTGTTTTAACTGTGTCTTACTTGATGTACTTCTCTATTTTGGTGGAGCTCTGGTTGGAACCAGTGGGTTTTCATTGTTTTGGGCAGTGTAGACAGCTGGATTGATTAATATAGGAGCAAATCAGCTACATGACTCACGTTTCTCACATATATCAAAAACACAGTTGAAATGCTTGTGGTATAGACTTGGCTTTTAGACATTGACCAGCAATGTGCCTGTTTTATCTCTAAACACACCCAACACACCCATATACATGTGTGGTCAACAGTGATTTCACGTTGTGCTAACACACCTTGAAGCTAAAACAAGAATTTGGAATGTTAAGTTACTCTTTAATTGTTGTTTTTAATTCTTTGTGTATTTATGTGTATGTGTGTGTGTGTGTGTGTGTGTGTGGGGTTATATAATTAGCTATGCAAGATATTTTTATGATGTTCTATCACAAACTGTTATCATTTTTTGATCTAGAGGTGAAAAAACATTCTTGAAATTCTCTGCAAACACAGTATCACATCACCATGCATATCTATTGCAAGGCTGTTATATTGGATTGCATCGCAAGTGTTCATTTTGTTGTGTCTGCCTGTGCAGCTTTCTTTCTTATTTTTGGCTAACGTATCCTGTGCACTTTTATTAGTTGAGGCCATCAAGGCCATTGAGAAAATCCACTTTGACATAAATGCAAGCACACATCCAATGCCTGGACACCAACTGCTGGAGACTTTGATGAGGTTTTCCAAGGTATTTGGCTACTGTTGCAATGTTATTATCTCTGCACCTGCTCTGGCATTTTACTCATTCAGATGTTCCTGTTTCTAAATTATGTATATAGGAATCTATCCAGCGAGTACGCCGGTTCTCTGATTCAGGCCCAGGCATCAGAGGATCCAGTCACAGGCACGACAACAGAATGGAAGTATGCAAAACCTGCATCCACAAAATGTGACCCAGAATTTGTTTCACTGCAAAAAAATTGGCAGTTTGTCACTGTGAAAAACATGGTTTGGCACTGCAGTTATTTGTGTACATAAAACACTCCGCATATAGCGTGCTTTATCTGACAAAGACAGAGAATGCAGTTTTTTATTTTGTAAAAAAATCCATGTTCCTTTAGCCTTATTGACTCTTACAGTCCATCACACACACAAGTTTAGGTTTTACTCACAGACTGCTTTCTGTCTCATTCCTCAGGGCTTTGATGCAACACCTGAAGCTGTGGTCAATATCAAAGCTTTGGCCATGAGCGGTAATCAGAAGCCCGAAGGTTACGATGCAGTCATGTACTACACACCTGAGGAAGACATTCACAAAGCCCATGTGATTGTGTCTCATGTTGGAGAAGCTACCAACTGGAAGATGTGCATCAACACCGCTGTGAACACACATTCTGAAGCAAAGGTAGATATGAAACACACAGAACATGTAGATGAGTTATTGTTATTAACCTGGTTGTATAAAATGTTACATTTAAATAAAAAAAACAGTTGTTAATGACTTGTGCTATGAAATCTTGGTATAAGTAACATCATCCTCAAGTTCCTACATTCTACTCACTTGCAGCATAATCATTAATTGTCTTGCAATTAAAGATGTGGGAGAGTGGTTGGTTGGGGTGGTTGATTCTCTTGGGCTCCTGTGCTTGGTCTAGGCACAGCTCAGATGGGGAGCTGAATGTCAGTCATATGCAATGTCACTGAAAGCTGCAACTGCACATCTGCCTGGTTCCAAACCAGTACTTGAGGCCAAAGCACACTGGACCAGGATCCCAGAAACTATGGCAGAGATGGGCAAAACGTGAGTGTCAGTGGAAAAAAAACTGCAGTTTGTATCAAGAAGTATAAAATGTGAGGAAGCTGAGCAGGATAAGCTGAAGGACAGAGTGAAGTAACTTACTTTGCTAAATGGAGCATAGTGGAAACATTTTCTGTGTTTACAATGACACATACTGGTGCATACTGCTTAAAGAGTTTTTTTTTTTAACATTTCCCAGAATTGAAAGATACATCCCAGGCATTGCTTTCCTTCTTGGCTTCTACCAGCAGCACGAGAGAAATACCAAGCAGGAGGTTTCTGCATCAGTGGTTGTTGCATCAGCAGACAGTGCTGATGTGAAGATTAAATTCCCAGAGGTGCTGTAGGAAACATTCACTACCTACATTTTCATACAAAAGTTCTAAATCCTTGCATTGTAGTTTCAATTGTTGTTTGATTCCTTGTTTCTTCCGTCTTGCCATTAGTACACAGTCCACCACCAGGCCATTACACTTCCACTGCCAGCTGCTGGTTTTCATCCTGACACCAGAAACACAACAATAACTCTATTTCGATGTGCATAAAGCATGTGAGCTACACACACCAGTTCAAATCATCTTAACTGAATGTTCATATTAATTTTTGTCTTTTTGAGCACTTTTGACACCTTTCTATGCAAAGCAGATAAGCAAAAACAAGTATGGGTGCTTTATAAAATATGTTTTGTGTTGCAGGAAGACAGCAAAACCCAGACGGGAGCCAGGCATCTCTTTTCACAGTGATAACACTGCAAGCACACTGTGATGAAAGTGAAGATTGTAAAAGATGTATCAGAAATCCCTCTCAGTTTGGAAATAACCTGTGAAGGTCCCAGTTTATTAATTTATAAGTATGTTAATATTTGAATGCCCTCTTCTGGAGAAATATTGTGTATATTTGTGTTCCATCTTCATAAAACTGGCTTTACCAAAATCCGTTTCAATTGGTTTTGTGATTTGTTCTGAGTCTGTCACTACAAATTCTGTTTATCCAACGTTGTGCCGAATATGTGTGCCTCATGATTAAAATAGAGAGAAGGCTCCTTCTTTCTTTCATTGTGCCTTTACAACATTTACATAATGATTCGCCATCATGATATATAATTTAGAATCAAAAGATTGATACATGGTATTGCATTACCTTTCTTTCTTAGTTTATTTTCTGGGCAAATATACACATTAACTAACATTAAAGATGCAAATGTGTCAGATTTATCCAGAAGGCTACTTTTCATCCATATATCCATGAAGTATAATCTGAGTTCATTTTATAACAATTTTGTAAAAACAATGGTCAGCAGTACTGATGAAGTTCCTGTAAATTCTGAAAATAAAAGATCAAGTTTAAAATTAAGAGTGACAATTCTGTCAGAAGCAAAGATTTCAGCACATTTTGATTTAGTTACAAAAGAAAACACTTTGCATGACTTTATAGTCGCAATGTGTATGTATTGTATATGTAAATATGTAAAAACAATCCAAAAGACTGGCAGGCTTGTCTACTCTACTAGCTGTGGGTGAGTTCTGAATTCAGTAAATTGGAACATAAAAGCTATTTTTGGAGAGTTTCTACTGAAAGAGGCGTGTACAAGGTCTGTACGACCTGCTTTGTTTGCTTGGTCAGTTGACCCAACAACACTGTTTGCACATATCAGTACACAATGTTACCGCACATGCCCTTAAAGTTCACTGCCTCTGCCACACAAATGACTTTGTGCACTTTAGTAACAAACGTCCACTGCTTTCAGATATACCTTTATATATGGATCTTAAATTAAAGGTTTAACTTTCTGAATGGATGAAAGATCTGGGTAACATTAAGTAGCAATTCTGAACTGGCCTCGGCCCAAATCTCGACTTTGAGTCATAACAAAAGAGATGTTACACCAGCCAAACGTGATGATTGCATCTTAACCAAAGACTGGTTGTCCTAACTACTCCTGGCTCTGCTTCTCCTGCCTACTGATTTAGCCAGATGGTGCTGCATTGCATAGAAAAGACACTGCCATCAAAAGCTGGACAGGATGAGCACAATTATATGGCACCATTATGTTCCATTTACATCTCTAATATCCTGCAGTGTTTCAAGGGCCAGTTGACGGGCTGATTGCAGATCTGTTGCGCTTACGCCGACATCCACATCACCTCACGCTGTTTAGAAGATCAGTACACCCTGACCTTCTGTTGACATGACTTCACCAAGTGAAATCAGCTGGTTAGGAACCATTAGTGAATGATCGATCAGGTAATTTGGAGAGGGGGGAACACGCCATCCCCTCCTTTTTTATTGCTGCTCACTCTGTAATCAAGATGTGCCTCATTAGACAGACTATACCAGCCCAGCTAAAAGCCATCTGAGAGTAGCTGAATTTATTTATTTATTTGGCATAGGGCATCAGTAGAGTCACAAAAAAGTCAATGCAGCTGAAGAATGTGAAGTGATATTAATGCCCCTTATGAATTAATAGCATTTATAATGAGTATATGTACAACTTTGGAAAAGTCAAAGAAAATGCTGCAAAACTGACATTTCTTGCTCTTTGGCAATGAGTACATGTGCATGTGTGTGTGTTAGAGTGTGAGCACTAGAGGACAGTGTTTACCCAACATTAAAATATGCCTGGCACAATACTAAAAGCCTGGCACCAGTCTTTGTTCAGAGAGGGCTATGTGGTGGATGTTGACATTTTGAAGATAAATAAACATATGTCTTGGCACGGTCAAAGTGCTCCTGCACTCTGTGGCTCACAAAAAGAGAACACATTTTATTCTAATATAGAAGCTAAAACTAAAATACTCCCTGATTGTTGAGATTTTATTGCTGCAACAACAACAATTGCTGAAGCAACAACAAACCACAGTGAAGTATCTTTAAGTAAGGATTATAATGCTCCTTTAGTGACAGTGATAATATGGCTCATTGTCATGTTCCCCTGTATTGATGTGCAAGTAGTTCTGCCATGTTTTCAGGGAAAAAGTTTAAAAAGCTCATTTATTTTAGTGCACAAGCCTTTATTACTGTCATCTTAGAAATATGGTTATGATCAGGATAATGACAAATGTTATGTCAATATCAGAATAATATATGAGATCCATACCACTGTATGTTATTGTCGAGCATGTTTGAGTAACAGCGGAGGGTAAAGACTCTTTGGGGCTTTTGTTGAGACAGAACTGCCAGCTGAGGTCATCTGGCTGAAGCGAGAGTTCCATGCCACAGGCTCTATGAGCTGCATCCATGTCTGAAAGCCAAAGGCTTATTCTACTGTGCCACTGGAGAATGTGATCATTTGAGGTGCTGTAAGCTTATAAAGTGTGAATTACCAGTCTGAAAGATACAAATATAAAATTACACAGTAAGTAGGACATTCAATCTTAAAGCATATGCTCAGTTCAAGATTAGTCAGCAGTGAACGTGTAATTCTATGTGATTTATTTATTTTTTAGCTCCTTCTGTTTCTGTTTGCTTTCTGGCAATTTGTGTTACAATATACTTTTTTTAAAAACATTTCTTTAGACATCACACACAAGATATTAGAGTACACTGAATAGTTTAGTACCAAGCTTCAAAACGAGTTGTACAGTGCCTTTTTGTTTACAGGCTACTGTATGTTGTTTACTGTTAAACATGCAATTGGGATTATTTCTTAGTGTGTGTGTCACATTAGTGATCGATTTGTGGGTCTCCACAAGCTGTCAGAGTTGAGCATCTGAAGTTAGGGGATTTGTTAATTGACACTACAGCAGGGTTCAGTTCCCATGACCTTGAATTAGACAAGCAGAAAAAAACTTAATCATAGATTAGTGGATTATAAATTTTCTTTAATTGATGTGCTGATGCATGGTAAACCTGAACTGCTGTACTTCAATCCATATTCGGTTGGATTTAGTGTCGCTATCTGACAATAACCTGAAAAGAAAGCTTTCTGTGCAGAGTTTGCATGTTCTCCCCATGTTTGCGTGGGTTCTCTCCAGGTGCTCCGGCTTCCTCCCACATTCCAAACACATGCGGCTTAGGTTGATTGGCGACTCTAAATTGCCCAAACTAGTGCATATCTAAATCCCAATTTGGGTTGCGTCAGGAAGGGCATCCGGCATAAAACGTGTGCCAAATGAAAACATGTGAACAGCTGATTCCCTGTGGCGACCCCTAACGGGAACAGCCAAGAGTAGTAGTAGTAGATCTGACAATAACCTGAAAAAGTCTATAATATAGTGGCCTAGACTGCTGAGCTCATTACAAATTAAAAACACTTGTGCAAATAGGCCAAACAGAAGCAAACAAAAAACATCTAACCAGTTTAACAACACAGGCACAGCACTGTTTCTGTTTCCTAGAAGTGATAAATGAGCTGCAAAACACAACTAAAAAGTGAAATGCTGCAAATAGCACACACAACAACACTAATGTTTCCAGGAGGCACTAAACAGTAATAGCTTAGACACATCGACACACTTGTTGGACTATTTGTCACAGGTGCTGGAAAACGATCTAACATGTACGTGAGTCTCTTATTATTCTAGATGTCTGCTGTTGTTTCTGTAGTGTCTCTCTCTCCTGCTTGATTTTTCTGTTTTCTGTATTTGCACCTTATTTAGTACTTCATTATTGGGGTAGGGTGTAGTAGTCTGGGGATAACTGCTGCAGTAGCCTACTGTAGTGATGCTGTTAGGGTCTGCAGACTGCATAATATATTTTCACCATATACTGTACAGTACAGTAGGGTGCTTTAGTGATGAGTTTAATGAGTTTAATGAGTTCAACAGCTCAATAGGTCCCTGTGAGCTTATATTGTAAAATTAAGACATCTGTGTGCATCATTATGGTATGAATGTATTCTGAAAACTATTAAATGTATCAAATGCAAAAGCAGTTTTACTAAGACAGATTTAGCTTCTGTAATATTTTAGGATTATTCTCAGCTATCCAGAAAGTAGATCACAAATCCATAAACCCTGCCACTGGCTCCTTGCAACAAACCTGAATACAGTAAGATCACTATAAAAGTAGTAATCTGGGTGTCCCTCTTAATGGAGCATGGGTAAATTGGACAGCTTGATGCATGGGCAGAGCCAAGGGGTGGCCAAGGGTGGCACCAGCCACCCCATGAATCAGATTTGCCACTTGTGGTGCCACCCCTGCCAGAGTCAAAATGTGATACTTCACAGTCAGTATTAATGAATGAAAAATGAAAAACAATGACAAATTATTGCCTTAAAGACAAAAACTTGATATTTGTAAAAATTTGTTTTATTTAATATCATGCATGCAGTGTGATTTTTATATTCATTTCTCCGACCATTTCGTGGAGAACTCATTTACACCCCAGCTGGGAGTAAATAAGGAGTGCAGCCAAAGTTAATTAAAGAAAGCACTATAAACAATTTTATTCTTAATAATATATGGTTTATTATTTCATAGAACTAGGGGTTTCATTTATTTTTTACATGTATTTCAAATGTGCCACCCAGCCTGGTCACACCATCATAAACTTTATAGATCTGCCCCTGGCTTGATGTGACAAAATTACTTTGCTATGCTGAATGCTTGATGTGTGAAGAACTATTCACACACTCTTACACACCACACACGTAAACACACAAAAGCACACACACTCTGCTTAGAGGGTTGACTTCAGACAACAGGCTGCACTTTGATTTCAGCTGCTAATTTACCATGCACTTTAGGTACAGTCTTATGCAAAAGTTTAGGCACCCCTTGATAAATAACAGATTTTGGTGATTTTTTATTTGAACAGATGTTAACACAGTTTCTCTTGGAAATGGAAAAAATGCACAATATTTTCTGCAAACAGTGATGCATAGTTACTTCTTATGCCATAAATTGAACAAAAATAAAAAATAAAAACATGATTATGGCATGGTGCAAAAGTTTGGGCACCCTAAGAGTTCCAGAGTCTCAAAGTCTCTCACAAGGTATCAGACCTTAATCAGCTCGTTAGATCTGATGCACAGCAACAGCTGTCATTGGTAAATGCCAATTTCAAAGCTGTACAAATACTTTGACTCTTCAAACCTTGTGCACAC